GCCCCCAGGACATTCACCAAGGTGCTAGCTGCAGCCGCAGGCCACCTGCACTCCTCCCTCCCAGTCCATTTGTTCTGTTATTTAGATGACATCCTCGTCCTAGCTAGGTCTCCAAGTCTGCCAAACAGGACTTGGGAACCACCATTGACACCCTCAGGGCCCTGGGATTCTCCATTAATCTGGAGAAGAGCCACCTGGTCCCATCCACAAGGCTCCAGCACCTAGGTTCCATTATAGATTCAGTGGCTGGGGAGGTCTTCCTGTCCCAAGATCGAAAGGACAGCATTGTTAAAATGGTCCATGAAGTTCGCAAGCTACGCTCTGTCCCTGTAGTTCTTCTTTCCAGGTCCTGGGGAAATTCATCTCGTGCATAGGGATCGTGCCGTGGGCTTGACTACACGCCAGGGAGCTTCAGTGGTTCCTACTCCCTCACCAGAGAGCCGGGACGAGCGACGCCAGCTTCAAGATTCGGGTGTCACCCCAGGTCCTGCTATTGTTTCATTGGTGGCTATCCCCAGCCTTGAGCAGGGGATGCCTCTTCAGGGAACCGGCAAGAAGGATCCTCACCACAGACACAAGTCTCTTCGGCTGGGGGGCCCACCTGAAGAACCAGATTGCCCAGGGCCGCTGGACTCCAACAGACCTGCGCAACAACATCAACTGTTTGGAGCTCAGGGCCATCCACCTGGTCCTTCGTCACTTCAGGAACACGGTGACCGGGCATCACGTCCTAGTCCTGACGGACAATGTGGCAGCCAAGGCCCATGTGAACAGACAGGGCAGCACCCATTCTAAGGCCCTTCGCGGGCAGAGAGACACCTGCAATCCATCAGAGCAGAGCACATCTCCGGAACAGAGAACCAACAGGCAGATTGGCTCAGCAGGGAGACAATCGACAACGGGGAGTGGCAGCTCCACCCCGACGGTGGACCTCTTCGTGACCCCACAGAACGCCCAGCTGCCGGAATTCATATCGAGGTTCCCGTCCAAGGGAGCCATGGACACGGATGCCCTTCGATGCAGATGGCCACCAGGTCTTCTCTACGCCTTTCCTCCCCTTCTCCTCATCTCCGGGGTCCTGAGGAGGGTGGTGGCAGAGGGAGCGGAGGTGATCCTGGTGGCTCCCTTCTGGCCTCGCCGCCCCTGGCTGGCAGACTGAGTGGATCTGTCCGCAGCTCCTCACTGGAGGATCCCAGCGGGGGAGGTGTCCCTGCACCAGGGGTCCCTGGAGCATCCGGATCAGGAGTGGCTTCATCTGACCGTCTGGCGATTGAGCAGGAACAACTGAGGGAGGCCCATTTTTCCGAGAGCGTCATCAGGACAGTGGAGGCATCCAGGAGACAGTCCACCACTCGCATCTACAACGTCTCCTGGGTGGCCTTCGCGGACTGGTGCCCAGCTAAAGGTCTCTGCCCAGCTTCGGCCTCTGTCCCACAGGTNTATATATATACACACACATACACATTACACATACACATACACATACACATACATACATACATACATACATACATACATACATACACACACCAATTGCCAAACAATTATAAGTTTAAATAATATGCCAATTAAAAGCCTCCCCAGAAAAGTATCAGAGTTACTCCTTTCCCACTGACAGCCCTATGGGGGGAAAAGGACTTTCTTATGACTAACATTTCCTAGCTGCCTAAGAATGACGTTCATTTCATCCATTTCTGGTGGCAAAGACAAAACATCAGTTACCGGTATATCTCATGGATGTATTTTGGTATTGCAATCCTTAATAATTATTTTGTTTTGCAGATGTACAGAGATTAATGGCTTCTGGGCCAGACCAAACCTCAAAAGAGACAGGCCTTACATTGGCCCAAGAAGCACGAGAGTTGAAGCCTATGGCCTTGCTTCCAGCTGTCAGCATAACACCGGCTGATGGTATCAACCTTCTTTGTCTTGTTTGGCTGTGCTGTAAATGCTAGTTTGGGAATGTTGAGTGGAGAAAGTGCATTAAATTATAAGCATTCATGACTATATACTAGAGCCTAGTGTAGCTATTTATATGAGCCTCACTCTTCATGTCCTGGAATCTAGTCATACAGACACTAGCTGCCATGGGGCAAACAATAGTAGACCATCAAAGGCAGAAAAAAATCAGACAGAGCAAGGGCATGGTGCCATTTTGAGAAAGCTGAACTTAGACCAGATCATGTTGAAGCAGGGAAAGATGCTTTAATTAAGCATCTCTGGCTATCATACTTTTGACGCCTTGGGCTTATTTGTCTAAGGTCAATTTAGGCATGAACTTCCAGTTACTGATCTGAAGTGACCAGTTATTTATTTCTCTTATATAATGAGCCATACATGAATGTATACATTTATAAGCAGCTCAGGGAAGAGGAATAGTCTTCAGAGTTCTCTCTTCTTCCCTTCTGTAGGAGAAACAGCAACAAATCAGCCTTCTTCCATTCCTCAGAGGAACTGGAAGCAGAATTGATGGTCCTCTACAGTTCTCGGTCATTTGCCATAGAAACGATATATTTCTGACCAAGAATGATGATGGATTTTATCTATTTAACTCACATAATCTCATGTGCTTTAATAGCAAAGACCTTTGTTGTCACCTTTTCATAGTAAGCCAGAATAAATCTTTGTGGTAGTTTAGCATACTATTCTCTACTGTTGCCCAAGAGGCATAGCATATGAAGAGTGCTTCCTGCTACAAGGGGTAGTTTTTTTCTAGCGCTATACAGCACTCACCAGCAATAGTTACCTTATGGAGGTGAATTTAACTTCCAGGTAATTGTAGATACTAGTACTCAGTGATGGGATTCAGCCAGTTCGCACCCCTTCGGTAGAACTGGTTGTTAAGTTTCTGAGCAGTTTGGTGAACTGGTTGTTGGAAGAAATTGTTGGCAGAGAACCAGTTGTTAAATTATTTGAATTCCACCACTGCTAGTACTCATTTGGGCACCTATTTAACTAATGAGTATAAATTAAGCAATAAACTTATAAAAGGAAATCTGCCTGAGACCAAACCATGCTTGGCACATTTTCCACCTTCTTTCATCCATAAGCTTAGTTGACAATCAGACCAAGTATAAATTAAAGATTCAGCCTTCTCTTTGACACTTCACATGATGAAGAGCAGATAAGTTGCTTAATATCAAGTCCAATGTTTTGTCAGTTTAGGTCTTTATTGGTTGACTAGAAGTAGATCTCTCTGGTCATAGACGTTTTCTCTATCACTTCTTTGATCTTCTCTGGAATAGAATAGTCCGAGGTTTGACCTCGGGCCTTATGCTTGGAAAGCCTATGCTCTGCTACTCCTGGTGCTTTACAGTGGATAACAGATGTTGAATGTTGGGCAGGATAAAGAGATTGTATGGCTGCCATATCTGATCACAGTTAGAAAGTGACCATCACCCCTTAATATTAAATATACATGACTGCCATGTTGCTCTGAATGCCTTAGGTTCAATGTGAGTTGTATCCAGATTAAAGCAAGAACACTTTTCATTTGTATTTTAAACCATTGCTAAAATGGTTTTTAAACCATTTGTATTTTAATTGTTTCATCCCCAAGATATGTTTAATTTGCAGAAACTGACCAAACTATAGGAGATCTAGATGTTGGATGCAAAAAAGAAGGACGCATCTCCTTCGGCCGCCAAGCATCTCAGCCTGACCTGAGTGAGAACTGCCGAGTTCGCTGTCCTGTCTTTGTCTACAGTTGCTCCTTGGAGGTGCTACGGGAGCAGATGATAAATTCTAGGACAGAGAAATCTATACAGGATATCTTTTTCAGGTGAGGAAACATGCAAGAAATTCAGTAACATCTGTATATGTAGAAGGTAGATCTTGGACTGAGGTAAAGAATGATGTAATCGGGACTCACTATTCTAACAGTTGACAGAAAAGCATGTATAAAACTATGTACGGTTAACTGAGTGTTTGTGTTGAAGTCAGGACCATTAAAACATGAATACAATATCTGGAGATCAATCTAACTCCAGATGTTGTATTCATGTTTTAATGGTCCTAGCTGCAACACAAGCACTCGGTAAACATTTGGGGCCTCCTTTAGATGATGAATTTCTTAGGCTTATTGGGTACTTTTTTTCCAGAAGCCAGTCTGTGGAGCGCCCCACTAGTGCTCCTTGGCTAGATTCCAAGCACAAGGAAGTGGTGAGTTACTGCACTTTGCTACAGGAACATTCTCACCAGTGCTATGTGAAAGGTAAGGGACAGAATTACCCTGCTTGGGAGTGATGAGGTTGGAAAAAGTGGGACGTTGCACTTTATGTAACAAAGTCACCTTACGTTAGTCCTAGGCGTAACCTAGTTCCTGGGGTACCATATTAATATAACAAATCTATACTCCAGTAAGCCTCAGATAGTAACCCTGGGATGCCTTCTCTTTAATGTTTGCCCTTCCTGTTGCTTGGTTGAAAAGCTGTCAGAGGCACATTTGCATGGACATTTAATATTTATGTTCCTCGTTTGACAGGACTATTTCGGAGTCTTCAGCAAGGTCACAACATTAGCTCTCCTGATCTGCTAATAGCCATGGATTATTGTGAGGAACTTCTGCAGGAGATCGATATCACTCACTTCCTGCTGACATTATGTAATCATGTGCGCTCCTTCTGTGAGCGCCACCAGCAGCAACTGTTTGTCAGCCTAGAAAGAAATCAAGCATCCAAACCACGTGGTATACTAACTTCGGTTTCCAGGTAGAATTAACGTTTGATATAAAGAAAACAAAACCCAAAAGGAATTGCTTGTAGTCTTGTACTTATAACCCAGGGTAATTATTTTTAGCATGTTGGTTCTGTGACTTTTCAGGATTTACATAAGGAAAAAGAAAGTATAAAAATATATAAGAATAACAATACTGAAAATGTAGTAGAAATTTGCAAATCTTCACATAATAATGAAATTATCTTTTTTTAAAAAAAGTTTGGAGGGGCTTTTCACTGGAATTTTATCACTTATGACAAAATGATTAAAGGAAAAGGAAAAAATTTAGAATCAGATAGAAACATAAATGTCTCTTTCAGTAGTACATGATAAACAGGGACTTCCTGTTAAATTAAATATTGCTTTGCCACTGTCTTCTCGGGTTTTTGAAATGATCAACAGTCTTATCTCCTGTTTCCTTTTGGGCAACCCCAAAGTCAGAAGAAAGTATAAGAGAAATAGGGGGAAAAAAGAGGTGAGAAGTAGAAGATGGAATTAGTTTTTGCAAGTTGAGGAAGTAATCCAGTTGTTAAATCATAGTTCCAAAAATGAAACGTAGAAGCTCAGAGATAAATATAAATAATCTGGACTTAGTAACAAAGTCCAATATCTAAAAGCACCAAAATGCCCTTACCTTGGAAATAATCAGGAAAACAATTTCAAGAATTACTGTTGACTTCATTTTGTAGTGTTAAATTAGATTGTTGGTATGATTCATTGGCTGACTTGCTAGCTTTCAAGGTTAGTTGATTTAGTTTTTTGTGGCAGAGACAGTAAAGGGTAATATGACACATATGTTATCACATAAGCTTTTATAAGTGAAAAGGGTTTGAAAGCAATGTGATGTTTTTGTTTGTCTTGAAGACCCAGAAGGCTCTTTGTTTCACTTATAATAACATAGTGATTGTTTATCTGATATATTTTTGTAATTTCTTTGTTCAAACAGTAGATTTGTATCCCCCCCCCTCAAACCTCTTAGCAACTTTATCTTATGCTCCCCCCTTTCATATTTTGTAATTTTTTGCCTATAGAAAATTTGGTGTGCTAAAAAAGTTAACAAGGCAGGTTAAGCTCATGAGGAAATATGGGGCTTAACACAAAAACTAGCAAAGGACAGAATTTTAAAGCACTATATTGCTTACAGAAATAGCATCAATGATTAAAATACATTTATGCATAGATTTTACTCTAATATTTGAATGATATCAATTTATAATTTGGACATTTTTATGTGGAAGTCTGTATTTTCAAATTTCCAAGGGTAAAAGTTATTCAGAGCTTTGTGGAAGATAATTATTTCTTTAATTGAAACCTCATCTTTCTTTATTAGGAAAAATTGTTTCATTGCTACATTGTTAATTATGGTTTAGCACAGTGTGCAGAGCATAGTCCATGTACTTTTCACATTTCTCTTCTTTATGGTGCCAAGAAGAAGAATATTCCAGAAGTGAATTTCCCTTTAGTAGATCTGTAAATCTATGTTGATAAACAAGCCAGAAATAAACACCGTTATGCTGTTTTATTTAACAAGCTAGAGTTTGACCAAACAAAACTAAATGTTTGATTATTCCTCCTCTGAATTCTGGAATATGGAAAATGCATGAGCCCAGGTTTTGCACAGACTGGTTTCTAGGCATCATAAAATAGGTTTTGATTTAGCGTTATATGCAAATATGGTTTCAAATTATCTTAGAAAAATATAGTAAGTTTTATTTATTAGATTTTTATCCCACCTTTATTCCTTATAGGTAACTCAAGGAGGTGGATATACTTAATACTCCTTACTCCTCCAACTTTCCGTACAAAAGCAATCCTGTGCGGTGGGTGGGCTGAGAGAGAGTGACTGGCCCAAAGTCTCCTATCCAGCTTTCATGCCTGAACTGCACCTTTGAGGGTTTTTTAAATGATTGAAGATTATGGATGTGACATGTTGCGGATAAATCAAACTTTCTGGGACAAAACTTTATTTTATGAGAAATAAAAGGAAGTGCCTCTGTCATTTATAATTTCTGATCAGAAATTTCTGGATGTCATGCCTTTTATCAACAAAACAGAGAAATAGATTTCATATAAATTGAGCTTCTAAAATTCAAATTTCATTACCAGTGATAACTTTCTAGGCCTTTTAGAAAGATTCTAGAAATACCTCTTTGGTCATGGGAATATATATATTAATTTTAGTTTCATTATTTTATACCTATGATTTATTTGATTAATACCTGCATGGATGGACCGCCTAAGGTTCAAGTCTTGTGCTAAGCTTTCATGTGATCTGCTTGTTTATGGCTTAAGAGAACCAAATTAAGATTAAGAAGATCTGAATTTCAATTTGGTTTGTATTAAAGTAAGCAAATAATTTACCATGTGTTTGACTGACAGATAGCTGTGTCAGTATAGCATGTGCTTTTTCTATCTTTAAATCTTAATAGCTGATAGAGCAACACATGCAACTGTAGTAGAGATTTTTTTTCTAATTATGGATTCCCAATCTCTATTATTTATGACAATTTATTTGCTACTATATTTGAGATACAGTATAAGGAATATAGAGCTAGAAGCAATATCACAATATTATGGCTGGAATGTTCTTTTACTGACTTCAAAGAGGCAGTTGTCTCACATAATAAATGATATTTTCAGGGCTACAGTTAAGATTACAGTTTCCTAAGTTACTACAAGCAAGTTCTGGGTTAGAGAATTATTACAAATAGATCATGAAACCATTAAAATACTGAAAATTAGAACAAATTAATGAGGAATAGAAAAAAATAAATTTCTGTAGAGAGAAAGATGAACTGTCAATTAAGGATTCTTGAAAACATATGTGAAGAAAAATGGCTTTGTCTGAATAGGAAAGAAGTAAAAATAAAATAAAAATCTGTGGGTATTTTTATACTGTTTATACAAATAGCAGCATTTGCATACTGCTACTATTATTTCAGAATAATAGCACTGTACAACTGTAATTGCCATTACTACCCACACTGCTGCATTCTGGACCAATTAGAGCTTCCACATTGTATTGAACGGCAACCCAATGTAGAAAATATTGTCAAAATCTAACCAGGAAGTAATTAAAGCATAAGTGCCTCTTCCAGCAAAATTAGAATAGAATAGAATAACAGAGTTGGAAGGTCTTGGAGGTCTTCTAGTCCAATTTCCTGCCTAGACAGGAAACCCTATACCTTTTCAGACAAATGGTTATCCAACATCTTAAAAACTCCAGTGTTGGAGCATTCACAACTTCTGGAGGCAAGTTGTTCTAATTGTTCTGTGAGGAAATTTCTCCTTNGAGGACCCAGACTGTGGGGGCGATATGCTGACTCTGTAAACCGCTTAGAGAGGGCTGAAAGCCCTATGAAGCGGTATATAAGCCTAACTGCTATTAGCTTCTGGTACCAAAAAATAACCCTACAGTTTGCTTCCTTACTAGGATAGAGAAAGAAAACTATGCCATAATCCAATTATGTTTCCTCTTTCAGACCCCAGACTCCAATATAAAGGAGTCAAAAAATATCTCACCAACATCTGTTGCACACTTTCCCCAATGGAGATGTTATGCCAAGCTGGTAAATCCACAGCATCTTTTCCTTACCTTCTTGCCAGCTATGTTCTCAGGTAAAGGATTCTGTTTTTAAAGTTATCTAGGGAATGCAAGAGAAGTTTGGCGTTGGTTCTTCAGTTGTAAAGAAATGAGATAGGAATTTGCCTGTATATTGTAGCGAATGATGTGAATAGAATTTAAGCTTGCAAGATCTACTTTGCTTTTTAATTATAAGCCTAAAATGTTTCAGGTACAAAGGATGTTCTTTTTATTAAAAAAAATTTGGGCTAGATAACTTTATTTTTAAATAAATTTGGTTCATAGAGCTCAGCAATAACAGTCCATTCCTTATCTTTTCACTTCATTTCAGCAATGGAGTTAGGTTTGATAGCAGAAATTAAATAAAGGGGAGGGCATGTAATTTTTTTTGGGTTAATTCAGATTACACATATGTAAGTGCATGTGTGCTATACATTTGCTGTCCTGCTGTGCTATATAGTCTCTATTAAAAAAAGGGTATGTTAATCAAAGCTAATCCTGCATTCGTACAAATAATGCAACCTGTGTTGCTGAATTTACTTTGTGTTTCAAACATTCCCTTTTCTTAGTGGAATGTTCATGTTTTTTAAAGATGAGTTCAGTGGCTTGCCAATTTGATTTACCCTCAGAAAGTGTTTATATATGATATCTTGCAATATAAGTTACAATATAAACTGAATCCATTATGCTGCCTAACAAATGAGTAATGATATGTGAAAAGCATATGTATGTATGTATGTATGTATGTATGTATGTATGTATGTATGTATGTATGTATATATATATATNTGCTTTGGAGAATAGTTTGACTCCCTCTTCTTTGTGGCAATCCCTGAGATATTGGAACACTGATATCATGTGTCCCCTAGTCCTTCTTTTCATTAAACTAGACATCCCCAGTTCCTGCAACCGTTCTTCAAATGTTTTAGCCTCCAGTCCCCTCCAGTTCCCCCAGGGAAAAATTGTTTCCCTTAAAGCAATCCTGTAAGCCTCTGTGGGTATACTGTTATGTCTAACTTCTAAGAAAAATTATGCTGGGGGAATGGTTCTTGAGAAGGGGTACATAAACATGCTGGTGACTGGGTTTGTTCTTCTGAACCCTGCCATAGTGCTGAAACAGAGGATTTCAGTGAAGCAGATTCCCACGGCTCTGCCTGTCCTTCCCAAGAGCCCCACCAGAGCTGTGACTCAGAATTCCCTCTCTCGCTACTAGACAGCAAGCAACCTTGCCAAGTGCAACCTGATTTACAAGGGATCATCCAGGTAAGCAGAAGGCTGGTTCATTTTGAGTTAGGTAATATTTTAAAGCTTTTTTAAAAGTTGAGATTGCTACCTTTATTGCTTTTTTCTTTTCCACCCAGGAGAAATTCTTGGAAATTAGCAGCTTATATTTTAAGCCAGTGCCATCCAACCCCCATTACTATTTCTATTGCCCGCCTTCCACCAAAAAAGAGGTAGGAACATACGTTTATAGCTTTGTCATCATCCCCTATTCTGAGAGAACCCTGTGAAAGGACTTGAACTTGAAAGAAGAATTCAGCACAAAGGCTTTGGATATGTTACATGGACATATTTTTTTAAAAAAAATTTAGGAGGAGGTTTCACGGGACCACCAAGACCGAAAAGGCAGTGAAGAGGTGGAGAGTTCAGAAAATGATCTGGCAACTGATGAAGGTAATAAACTTTTCTGTACTTACTGATGTGAGATTTGGAGCTGGAGATGGTGTGCTTGGTGCGCTTTGATAATTTATTCAAGAATACTGCAGTCGTGGAAATGTGAATTAGGGCAAGGGCCACCCAGAAGCTCATTTTGCACCGTTTACTACTCTCAGCCCAAGTTACATCACAATGTGGTCATTATGGGGAAAAACTGGAAAAGTTAACAGAAAAGAGATGGAATCTAAATTAAACAACTAAAACTAAATATGGGGGTTTTCCCATCACCCCCTTGATTGAATGAAATTTTCTGCAAAAGAATGACTATCCAGCATTGCTAAATCATATTTTTGTTTGGGTAAGCAAATTAGCTGCAGAGAGAAGGAGCCTAGCAGTGCTTTGGAAGAGTGAAGGCAGAGAGCCAGTAGGACTACCGTTCCCTGCCTGCCTGTTTTCTTTGTCTCCCCACTTATATTTCTTGCTCTTGGCCACAATATGGTCAGTCAAGATAGCTGTGTGTTTCAGTTTTCCTAGACTAATTTGTTTCTGAAAGGAAGATTCCTAGTTCATTTAACTCACCTAAATTATCTTGAAAGCCTATAGCAGAAACATTGTCTAACATAATCTTATATTAATAGTGAGAATCTGTAGCCTTGCAGATTGAATTGCACAGCTCATCATTCTCTGCTATTGGCTGTGCTGAATATGGCTTATGGTCAATGACAGCACCTAGGGAGCAACACATTCCCTGCCCTTATCTTAAAGGTTGGAGCTCAGGTAAGAGAACTCCTGTTACTCTGAAGCAATTATTTGTGTGTATCCATAGACTTGCAGAGGTGCTTTTGATGAGTCCAGAGAGCAAATGTCAGTCATAACTGATTTTCTAGGACACATGCTCTCCATAAAGAGTCCTGTACACATCTGGCCACATACCTCCAAGTTTATAAGAAAACTAAAAGTTGTGCTTCAGCCAATGTAATATGAAGTGGGCAAAATAGTACAGAGAGGATAGTTTTGCAGAGGGGAAACAAATCTTAGCCTATATGGCCAACTGTACTGTATTACACTGGGAAATACAACCTCTACAAATGCAAACAGCATCTTAATCTCCGTTGTAACAGAATTACATGCCATTCACTGATTGGCCAACCATACAGACACTGCTGGACCATTATTTAATCAATCACTGTAATGATTTTAGTTCATATTCACGTACAACTTTATATATTTGTTATAAATTACCATTGTGTACTTTGGCATGTGGCTGTTAGTGCTATCCTTTTTATCCAAAGCCAATTTACCGAAACGATAACTATTTATTTAATCCGTTTAAGCTACACTTTTAAAAGAGGACTGATCCAGTTTTATAGAAGAAATCCCTTTTGGTACTTTGACAACTTCTTTTGAAATTGATCAATGATTTCTTTTTAAATAGGGAACACATCCAGCTATGTCATTGGCACTGAGAGTGACCCAGAACTGGAGGTAGAATATCGAGAGCGCTTGGACCAAGAATTTTTAGAAGCCGGCTCCTTGTCAGACTCCAACACTGTTAACCAGGATGATGACTCCTTCAGTGTCCTGGGAGACTCCCTGGCAGAACAGGAACTGCTGGAGCAAGACATGCCTCCCCTCTTTATGCACTTGACCTGTTCCGTAAAGCTACGCAGCCAGCACTGTTCCATGCCTGTTCGCTCGCTGCCCACCTGCCTAGGTGAATTTAAATGAACAAGATGAAGGTTTGGGGTGGGAATGATGGAACGCTAGTATGGGAGACATTGCATATGGCCAGATAGAAACTCCCAAAGGAAATGTGGATTGATGGAGTCCTATGACTGAGCTCCAACCTCTCCCTGAGCATTTGGCAAAGAAGCATAAAGAGGGGTCTCTGTGAGTAATATCTGCTGCTTTCTATAGGAGATGTGCTGGGCGGCCTTGAAAGCTCTAAGGCACTTCACACAATTGACCTTTCTGACCTTTGTGTGACCCTGGATATTTTTGTCCTGACTGTCCCTCTGGAGATCGAAATGGTGAACGATTTACATCACAATAGGTGGGAACTCATGATTATCAAAGGGCTGGGGAGTTTTGAAACCTGGAAGAAAAAGCTCAGACATTATTTCCTCTCTTTCCACAGATACACCTCTGAGAGCAGCGTCTCCTTCACCCGTTCCCCAGGACAGCCCTCTTCTTTCCGTTCAGATGATGAGCTTATGCACACCTTGGACAGAATGCCATCATCCTCCACTGATTGGTATTAATTTTTTTCTATCAAATGTCTGTGCCGGGATGTATGAATTGGAGACTCTTAGATTCAAAATGTGCATTCCCATCTTATTTTCAAGGCATCCAGCGCTCTCCAACCTTCCTGCAGTGCACAGGCAAGCTGTTGAAGCCACAATGACAGAAGTGAGTCTATCTGCCCCTGGGATTGGGGCAGCTAGAAACTTTGGGCACTATCCTTGTTCCTCTGCCTTCCTCTGCTCTTCTGTACTAGAGCATGGCCTGGCTATGAACCATTCTTGGTAGGAATGCAGTTGCTAGAAACAGACAGAAACAGCGAGTATTCCATTCCATGATCTGGACTTTCCTCTCTCCTTTCTCAGATCCGTTGGCTCCTGGATGACGAGATTGTGTCAGCATTGCGTTACTCACAGCCTGTGACTGCTAGCATTTTGAGTCAAGCTGCTTCTCACATCTACAATTCCCAGGGCCGCCCAAGCTGCCATTGTGAGGTGGTCCCTCTGCAATTTGTATTTGGACCTGAGAATTCTCTGGAAAGGTTTCGTGAGGTAAGCAGGATTCTATCCCTTTGCCTTTTTATAGTTTTTTGGATAGATTTTGTGTGATTTTTTTTATAGTCCACAATCTCTAAATAATAATTGGACATTCCTAAGGCTCTGTGATTGCACATAGTCCCTAAAAGCCTGAGCTATGATCCCAAGAAACCTCCAAAATGTTCACCAGTAAATGGTGCACAGTATCCAGATCTGAAGCAAAAAGGGGCATTTGAATCCACTTGCAGTTACTTCTGTCTGCCTGGTGACTGCTGCTAGGAGAAACCTTTCCTTTTCCTGGGCATGCATAATAGTTGCACGTGTTCAGGAAAGTAATCATGTGTATACAACAGAAGAGAATAAAGATGAAATACATGGCAGACAGGAGTATTTTATTTTAATTAATTATCAATTGAATTAAGTCAAATTTAGGGACTTTAGGTCTTATTTATTTCTTTATCCCAGCTCTGCTTATTTTTGAAGTAGGCATTTGAGTGCCAAATTTTAAATGCAACCTTTGGTCTGGAAAAGTTGTACATCTCTGCCTTGGATGTTAAACCAGACCATGGTTGTCATTTCACAATTTAAAAAAAATTCAACAGTACATATTGCAACTATAAGAAATAATACAATGAAACATCCCGGAGCGAAATTAAAATTACTGAGTAATAAAAATAAAACAAAAACATAAATAAAATAATACATAAAAAATGAAACAGCTTATCTGCAATAAATTTTTAAAACCCTGATGGCACTACTTCATTGAAAGAATCTGTAAAATAGATATGTTTTATTAACTTAAAAGAACCAACAAAATGGAGCATGGATTTCCAGAAGAATGCTGTTCCAAAGCAGCGTATCCACTGAAAAGCTGCACATGAAAATTTAAGCTCCCTGCTGCCTTACTCCAGAGAAGTGAGGAGTGACTGTCAGTTTCTCCTGGGATATATGAGTCTGGCAGGTTGACTCTTGTCTGGAGAAGATAATCCTGCAAGTAGCATATAGTTTAAAATCAGCTCTTTTAATTATACCAACAAGCCAATGCAAGCCCTGAACCAACAATCTAGTACTCTCATTGCCCTGTATATGATAACGAATGGCAATTACCAAGAGCTAATCTTCTGAATTAGTTGCAGTTTTTGAATTGTCTTCACAAACAGCCTCATATGGAATACATTATTGTAGGATAAACAAGTAATACTGAAAACACAAGCGACTTTTATTAAGGTCCTTTACTTTATGATTACCACTGTCATACCAAGCAGCTGAATGAAAATCTCCATCTGCCATAAGTTCAGAGGGGACAATTGTACCCTGCTCTCTCAAGGGTAGTGGTTCTCTATCAAGAGACAACACTGCAGTTGTAACAGTTCCTCAATGCACTGTACAAATCCTGTTTTGCCAAGGTTTTGTTAGCTGCCCAGAGTCACTTTAGTGAATATGGACACAACTAGAAAAGATCTGGAACTTACCACAAACACTTTCAAAATTGCCCGCACCACTTTCTTCCATAATGAGCCCTAGAAAACTGCCTGGATCCCTGGAACTGACTCCTCACTTCCCTCAATATATTCCCAGACATTTTGCTATATGTGCCATAACCTCAGTAGTCACAGGGTACCAGCATTTTGACAAAACTGGCTTCCCAACCATCCACATAACTATGCCCTTCCTTCACTTGGCTTAGGCCTACAAAGTAGATTCCCTTTCGGCTCTCTCTTCTTTGTTTGGATACTTCTAGGAGTTCCAGAAAATGCCCTTGCCTGGTTATGTCCTCAATCCTGAGGGGACTGATTTCTACTATGCATCCGTCAGTCGCCTACATGCCTCAGTAAGTGGACCCAGCCCTTCTGTTACACTTGAGAGCACTATGACAGGAGGCAGGTGTGACAGCAGCTCCCTACCCTGTTCTACTCCCCCTGATGAAGCTCAAAGTCTCTGGGCATGGTCAACAAATGAAAACAAGACTGGAGAATGTCTGGGCATAAGTAACCAAGTACCTGTTGAGGTAAGTGTTAACCATGATTGAAACAGATGAGAGATGTAATGGTCATTGATATGGGATTGATAAGGGTGACTGTTGAGGAAACGTCCTGGATTATCTTATCAGTAGAACTTCGCTCTGCATCTTTTCTATGATGCAGGTGTCAGACCAATTAACATCGGTGGATCAGCAGACCAGTATTTTGGAACAGGGTTGTCCAGGTGAGGAAACTACTTTGATGCCGGTGCAACCTCAGGCTTCCTTTTCAGACAAGTGGAGCATTGAGCAATCTCTGTTAGCTACACCATCTGTACCAAATCTAACAGAATCTGTGATCCCCAGCAAGGAAGGTGAGAAACAAGTCACAATTATGAAATATAAAATGACTTCCTGAGCTTTTTATTTCAAAATGAAATGTAGTCTTTTGAAATAGGCATGGTACTGAACTCTTGCAGCTTTTTGTGCTGCTCTTTTACTTATTTCATTTATTTCTACCTACCTTTATTATTTTTACAAATAATAATATTTTTACTTATCCAACACACCTTCCTCCTATTTTCTTCACAACAACCGCCCTGTGAGGTGGGTTGGGCTGAGAGAAGGTGACCAGCCCAAAGTCACCCAGTTGACTTTCATGGCTAAGGCAGGACTTGAACTCATGGTCTCCTGCTTTCTAGCCTGGTGCCTTAACCACTAGGCCAGATTGGCTCTTTTTGGTCTGCTTGCTTCAATAGAACTAATTATAATCAATGTTATTTTGGGGTTACTTTGATTTTAAAATATAGTAAATCTTTATCGGTTGGCTTTATTCTTGATGTACTGCTTTGTGAATGACAATAAACATTACAGATCTGGAAGGCTTTTTACTTGTTTGAACTGTTTTTAAATTTTATACACTGAAATTCAGTTTTCAAGTCAAATCTACTTTTGTGTGTGTGAGAGGGAGGATCTAGCATCTTTATGTCTTGCATTCATTTGCTGTTGCATTTCTGCATTTCTCCCTAGTATTTTATATTGCTTACTGGAACTCTTTGAACAAAAATGTAGCACTTCACACTGATAAAAGCTCCATGTTCAGGTCATCATCTTTTCCTTAGCTCTGTTACACCAAACGTTGTGATCCTCAGTAGGTGTCTGTTAAAATGCTTTTGATTTTTCTTTATAATCAAAATCATTTTAGTACCATTGAGCTCATGAGACTGCAGTTCTAGAAAGCTACTGCATATCTTGCATTTCAATATTGGTATGAAGTCACTCTGGCTTACTTTCTGAAATCACACAATCTGTGCAGCAGTCAGGATTTTTTTAAAAAACTTTGTGTACTTTTAGTATGCTGCCTTGTATCCTTTTCTTTTCAGGCTCAGTTCTGATGCTTGAGATGTCAGATAGTCAATTTTGATGCTTAAGCCAAAGTTTCTCCTCAGAGACCTGAGGAATCTTTCACCTTGGGAGAAGTCTCCTAAGGGCATCTGACACTTTCTTTACAGGTTGTTATAGGAAGCAACAGCTTAGTCAAGTGCAAAGTTTGGTGTCAAGCCAGGGAAGCATGGATTCTGATCTTCTTGGTGAGTAGATGGGTTGCATGTTTGGGAAAAGTCAGTTTTGGAGAACTGGGGAAATATCCATCTAGGATTTCCTGACATCACCATTGATATGAACTATGATAGAACCATTGGACTCCCCAGGAATATGCTGATATTTTTAGGATGAATTGACTGAATCTTTCACAGATAGCAGGATACATTTTCATTTCCCAGGATATGATGGAGGTAGCAGTGATTCTGACGGCGAGGAGGCAGTGATGAGTGACCTAGAATCCAGGTGCCCTCTGATACCCGACTTCTGGCTAATCATCAAGATCCACCAGGATCGGGTTGAAGTTTATTCCCATACGCGGTAAAATCCTGATTCTCCTGGCTCCCTAAGCAGAGATGAGAAAGTGATTCCTCTGAATGATTTTTCTGACATGGACTTGGATGATCTATGAATGTGCAATTTGGAAGCTCAAATTGGGAAAGAGAAGAGGAGATACAGCTCTTATTGGCTGTGAATTTCATACCCAACATCAATTATAATATAAGCAGTGTGCTGCTTTCCTCTCATCCTTCTTTTACATTTAACATATTCATTCAGTGATGTAATGCAAGAAAGTGATGTGTGAGGGTGTTGCCCAAACTTTGTGTGTGTATTGCCCAATCTGTACCAACTATATAATAAATTGGATAGACTGCAATTCCTATAATTCTACTGGGTTGGAAAATTAAGTAGTATACTTTAGTGGAGTTCTGCTGACTGGGGAATTCTAGGAGTTGAAGTTCAGAACTTCTGAAAGCTCTGAAAGTTGAGAAACACTAGTCTAGCGCATTTAGAGGACACCAAAGTGGAAGATAAGAGCACTTTATGCTTGGAAATGGAAGTTTCCTCATGAGTCAAATTCTGAGGCTTCTCTTTTTACTCTCTTTAGCAGCTACAATGCAGTAAAAGCAACACAGGATGAAGAAGGGGAATGCATACAACTTCACCGGACAATGATAAAGAAGGTTGGAGAGATTTGCCGTGTTGTTAATCAGGTAAGTAGGGCACATTCAAGTTATAAAGCCTTCTCCTTAAATCATAACAAGCTATCCCATAGTTTCCTGGAGGAATAGTGCTTTCTTGTGAGTAAGAAAGTGCAACTACAAGCTTCTATAAAAAAATGTCCCACAAATCAGTTAGAAACTAACCAAATGGAGAAATTGTAGGCCAACCACCTTAATGCTTTTTCTCAGGTAGAGGAAAGGGAATTCAGCATAGATAGATTCTGCAAGAACAAATCCCATTGGGGGAATGATCCTATTGACACTGTGTACTTAGATTGTACATCTGTTGTACATACTCCTGGATTGATGGGGGACTGCTCATAGTCACTTATGCCCTTGTGATCTCAAGATTGGACTGTTCCAATGCAATTTATATGGAGCTGAAGACACTTCACCTAGTGCAGAATGTACTGGCATGGACAGTTACTGACACGAGTTACTTAGTGCATGTGACAATACTGGTCCATGAGTGCATTGGCTTCCTGTGGGCCTCCAGGTGTCATTTGAGATGTTAGTTGTCACTTTAAGTCCCTTTGTGACTTTTGATCAGGTTATTTATGGGTCCAGTCCTCTCCAATGGACTCTACCTGAATATAGGTTTGGCCTGAGCCCGGGGCCCTGAGCATGTAGAGTCGATCTTTTGGCTATGTGGTACTTAGTTGGATGATGCCCAGCTACTATGCATTTTATTTTTATTTTTTATTTCACGTGTTTTATGTATTTTATGGTAAATAGAGTCGTGTATAAAATGGGCAGCTTTATAAATCAAATAAATAAATATAGAACAGATGGAGAGGTTAAAAAAATACATTGCAGAAGAAGACAGTGCAAACTACTTTTATATTCTTACCAAGGAAGCTATATGGATGTGTCTGTAGAGTCACCAAAAATTGAATTCAACTTAAAGAAAACTTTACAATTTTTTTTTAACAAACTCCTACTTCTTTGAGCAGTTTTTAACAAACAACACCAGGGGGAGCCAGACACTGTTCCTGATGTGAGGAAACAATTAAATTAATGCTTCCTGCCCTCTTCTCTTAAAGCGGTTGCTGCTACAAGATCTGCATGATAGCCACATTTGTAATTCTCTGTTGGTCGCTGAGAGTGAGGAGGATATCTGGAAAAGTGAAACACCTTATATCTATCGGCAGCGCACTGGGCATGATGGTAGGAGCTTAAAGATGATTCTTGCTTAATGACTCGCCTGTTTAGCAACCATTCAGAGTTATAACAGTGCTGAAAAAGAAGCTTTTATGAGGAGTCTTCCTTCTTAACAACCCTTGCAGCAGTCACCTGATTGAGATTCTGGCCCTTTGAAACCAACAGACATTTATGATCATCACAGTATCTCAGTGTCACATTTGCCATTTGCACCGTTTACAGCTGGCTTCCAACAAGCTGACTCAATAAAGAAGCCACATTGGAAGTTGTGATCATGTGACAGCTGATTCAATTATTGCAGGTGATTAGTTTAACAACCACAGCGGAAGTGAGGTTGTAACTCTGTTCTGGCTACATGATGTCTTGCATTTGAGCTTAGTGACAGATTTGGTGGTCCCCATTATGATTATTAAGCTAGATTAGCAATAGCAATAGCACTTAGACATATACCGCTTCACATATGTGCTTTACAGCCCTCTCTAAGCGGTTTAGAGAGTCAGCATATGGCCCCCATCAGTTTGGGTCCTCATTTTACCCTCCTCGGAAGGATGGAAGGCTGAGTCAACCTCAAGCCAGTGAGATTCGATCTTCCAAACTGCTGGCAGCTAGTGATCAGCAGAAGTAGCCTGTGGTACTGCACTCTAACCACTGTGCCACCACGGCTCGTATTACCTATATTCTACCAGTATTCTAGTTAATTACATCAACAGACTTCTCATCAATAACAGAAGAGCATAAGTCCCCAACCCCTCTTTTATTCTGTAAGATTTATGGCAGTATCTTGAGTTGAAAATCTCCTTGCTTGTTTCCATTTACCCATTACTGGTTATATATTTCCATACTTTTGTACAAAGCTAACAGTATCTATTGTATGTTTGAGTTTCGATTGGGTTGGGCGTATGTATAGAAAAATATTTGTGCTTGATTTTTGGGCTATCTGTTGAAAAGTGGGGGAGAGCAAATGTGTGGAATAATCTCTCCCCCCCCTCCCCTCCCTGTTCAGATTATCCTGGAGAGGAAAGCTACCAGCCCCGTGACTATCTTGCAGCCACTATGCAGTTCATACCTGGACATTTTGCCTGTGATGCAGTCTGGAGTACCACCATCCATGTGCATTCAAGGCTCAAGATGGGTCCCAATATGGGTGTGGCACGTGGTAGGTATTTGAAAGAAAGATGAGGTTGTACTTCCACAGTAATTAAAAGAGATGCGTTAAAGTATTACTTTTTAAGAAATAACTTCTGTTTTAAAAACTATATCTGCTAAATATCGTAGATGTAGTTGGCATGTATTTGAAACATTCTCTAGGGAAGATTTTTGTCCAAATATTCTCTGACACTAATACCTTAATCAGAACTATTCTAGAATTTGATATTTTTTCACATATTGCTTAATGCCTAGTAATAATATCAAATTAAGACAGTTTTCAAATATTTAGACACATCCAGGAGATTGGTAATTATGCAGTTATATTTAATGAGTGGGCTGAAAGACTGGTGTGTTGGCTTCTGAAAATTGGGCATTAAACTAAATCTGTCTCTTCATAAACTTGCGCTTCTCGCTCTCTCTCCTGCAGCCATCCAAGCCCTGCGCTCTGTACTCAATGCCTTCTCAGTTGTGAATAGGAAAAATATGTTTGTTTACCAGGAACGTGCAACCAAGTCTGTTTTTTATTTACGGTAAGTTCAGTACGTCCTTGGACATGCCTACCACATTGTTCTCAAAGTTCAGAGGAGCCTGCTTGAACCATAGTGTATTACTGACTTGGGTGCTGCCTGGCTTTTGCCTCTCAGAATGTTTTTCGTTCATTACAACACACTTTTTTCCCTTTTGTCATTCTAACACAGGCTCTCCGAAACAACTTCTGGTGGGAAGGCTGGGGAAAATGAAATCCAGAGTCTTGTGTGCCGTTCACTGGCACTTTCACGCAGCCAGGAGCCCATTTACACTGAAGACTTGAGTGTAAGTATCTGTTACATTAATATGGAACCTGGGTGTCCTTGGTGCTAAGAGAGAGAACAGGTAGTCCTTGACTTATGATGGTACCATGTTTCCCCAAAAACAAGACAGAGTCTTATTTCCTTTTGACCCTCGAAATAAGCGCCTGGCCTTATTTTCGGGGAGGTCTTATTATTTTTGAGGTGCAGGAGGCAGCGAGTGTGGTCATCTCATGGCTGCTGCTGTCTTGCAATATTTTCAGGGAGGGCTTATTTTTGAGAAAGGGCTTACTTTAGCGCATGCATTCAAAAGCCCGATTAGGCTTGTTATCTGGAGAGGTCTTATTTTCAGGGAAACAGGGTAATTGGGACCCGAATCTCTCTTTCTAAGAAATACCGTTGTAATTTGCAATCCTCTTGCTTAGTGACAATAATCCCTATAGTTAGGTAAGCTCCCCATTGGGAGAGCGAGTGCGTTCAGAGAAGCGTTGTGAGAGTTGTGTTGGAGAACACACAAATCAGCATACAGAGACACTGCAGTTTAAATAGGCTTTTACTTTCATGGAAATAGAGGTATCAGAGTCCATCAAACAGTCCAAGTCATACACAGATAAGTCAGTCATCAATGTCTTTCAATTAAGGGATAATCCAAATAACATAGTCCATTATCATACAAACAGTCCGGTACACAAAGTTTGGTAACAGTTGCAAAACTTACAATAGCTCACGGCACTTCCAGCTTCCAAAAACACTCAGATCAGATCAGCCCAGCATCTCACAGAGAGCTAACAGTCATTCTGGCTCTCTCTTATGGCCGATTGAGGAAAACAACAAACAATCACATTTTACAGTATGATTTAAAGAAACAGGTATAGCATTGTTACACGATTTATATATTGCCTACCCAACCGTTAGATTATATTCCTAACAACTATTGTTGTTGTTATCCAAATATAAAGACTGCATGGTCGTTAGGCAAGGCAACTTCCCATAGCCAAAGTCAGTAGCAATCCTGCTGGCAGGTAGATGACTGCTACCAGATGGGGGAGAGCACAAGGTGGGGTGGGAAGGTTGTACCAGGGGAATGGCACAAGGGTGCAGGGGAAGGTCAGTAAGGGTGCAAGGGTGTGTGCAAGAGGCATCTTACAGGTCAGGGAGGTTGCACAAGGTGTGAGGAGTTATGTGAAAAACACGGGTGGGCGAACAGGGATGTAAGGGATTGCACAAGAGGCACCACCGTGGAAGTTGGTGAGAGTGTGCAAAACAACACCATGCAGGTTTGGGAGGGTGTGTGAGGGTATGCAAGTGGCCAGCACAGTACAACCACAGAATGGCTATAGAAGGGTGCACAGGTGGGAGAGACCTGTGACCTTCCCTGCCAGCTTTCCAACTGACTTTTTGGGAAAGCTGGCAGAGAAGTTCACAAATGGCAATCTCTTGAAAGCGGTGCCCTTGGCATCTAGTTGTACCTCTGAGGACTGGTTATAACCACCATTCATTGAATGCCATCTTAACTTGGAATAGTTGGTGGCCAAATAGTTGTAGGTCAACGACTGCTTCTATATTGAAGGTTTACAGTGGGAGCTTTGCTCTGTTCCCACACAGGCACTGTAATGTTGCTTTTCTTTGATAGGGCTCTCACTCATCCTTGGGAACAGCCTCTTGCCGCAGTGTGGATTCAGCTCGTCCTGTGAGCCAAATTGATAGACACATCCAACTAGTGGTTCATGGAGTGGCACCAGCAGGTAGGCTGGGCACACACTTCTAATCTGGTAATGGATAAGGTGGAGCGAAGGAGATGCCTGTGGAGATGCTGCTGTTGCGACAGAATAAAAGACACAAATATAGAAGTTATATTCTTTTATATTTCTCCTTATTTTTTTCACTTTTTGTGTATATCTCTATTGTAGCTTCTTTGTTCCAACGTTTCCTCTAGCCGTCCTATAAAGGCACTTTTGGGATCATGTCACAAGACACAGTCATATATGCAACTATTTGGTCTGGAATTACAATTAACATAGCAACAGCAGGTGAAAAAGCAGAGGAATGGCAGGGCAGATCTCAAAAAAACAGTATCCTAAATAGATTAATAGATGGGTAGTATAGAAGCTCAGTGGCTAAGATGCCAAACTTGTTGATCAGAAAGCTCGGCAGTTTAGGGGTTCAAATCCCTAGCGCCATGTAACGGAGTGAGTTCCTGTTTCTTCTCCCAACTTCTGCCAACCTAGCAGTTCGAAAGCATATAAAAAATGCTAGTAGAAAAATAGGGACCACTTTCGTGGGAATGTAACAGCGTTCTGTGCACCTTCGGTGTTTAGTCATGCCGGCCACATGACCACGGAAACGTCTTTTGACAGCGCTGGCTCTTGGGCTTTGAAACGGAGATGAGCACCGCCCCCTAGAGTCAAGAACAACTAACACATATGTGCGAAGAGAACCTTTTCCTTTACCTTTCATCTATAGCAACCCAAGAGCTGTAGTGGAGTTCAAGTATCAGAAGCTCAGACTACTTCTCCTTTCATAGGACCTGAGATCACAGACGAGCTGGTAAAGGTTCTGCGGAGACGTCTAGATGAAGCCACCCTGGATATCATTACGGTTATGCTTGTACGGAACTGCAAACTCACTCCAGCTGATGTGGAGGTATTGGCTAAAGGAAGTACTGAACTTGCTTCCTGAGATTGTCCGACTGAAATAATTTCCCTCCCCTTAAAATAAGAGCTTTACTCCTTGACTAAAATCTCCCATCTTGTGGACTTTGTGGTCTCAAAAATGTCAAACTGTTGATACCTATTCCTTCTGCAGTTCATACAACCTCCTGGCAGCCTGCCCACTGAAGTACTGCAATTTACACTTCCTACTTCATGCCTGCCTTGGCTTCCAGCTGTAGCTTGCTACCTGCGACAGAATCTGCTGATCTTTCTGCACACACCCAAATACACAGATAGCAATGTGGAAAACCACTTCAAGGTGAGCATTTGGTTACCTTGAACTGCATGCTCAGTTTTTGGAACTGAGTGGACCTTGTTAGGTTGCCAGGCAGGGGTGGGTTGCTGCTGGCATTGCTGCCTGTTTGGCACGTGTGTGCATTTGCACCTAAAAAGGTCTGCCTTGGAAAATAGTTTGACTCCCTCTTCTTTGTGGCAACCCCTGAGATATTGGAACATTGTCATGTGAAGTGTTTTAATACCACTTTATAATGCCTTGGTAAGGCTACACTTAGAAAACTGCATCCAGTTTTGATCGCCACAATGTAAAAGAGATGTGGAGAGAAGAGCAACAAAGAGGATTAGGGAATTGGAGGCTAAAACATGTCAAGAAACATGGAATTGGGTAGATTAATGAAAAGGACGAGTAGAAGTGACATGATAGCATGCTATCTCAGGGGCTGCCACGAAGAAGAGGGAGTCAATCTAGTCTCCAGAGCACCCGAGGGCAGGACAAAAAGCAATGGATGGAAACTAGTCAAGGAGAGAAGCAACCTAGAAGTAAGGAGAAATTTCCTGACAATTAGGACGATTAATCAGTGGAACAACTTGCCTCCAGAAGTTGTAAATGCTCCAACACTGGAAGTTTTTAAGAAGCGATTGAACAGCCATTTGCCTGAAATGGTGCAGGCTTTCCTGCCTGAGCAGGGGGTTGGTCTAGAAGACCTCCAAAGGTCTTCTATTTCTATTTTGCTTTCTTTTGTAGGAGGCATTTATGAACACTAGCTTGAAGTAACCACTCTTTTCTTGCTTTTCAGCACTGCCTAAACCAGAATAGCAGCAGCAGCAGCAGCAGTCCTGAATTGGATCTCTATTTATATAATAAGCCAGGAGGTCAAGGCACTGGTGGCAAAGGTACTAAGCATCTCTGTTCTGTTACAACAGGAGAAAGAATAGAACACTCTAACAATCAACTAGAGCACTTTTGGACAGTCTTAGATACATGAGAATAAAAGCTAGTTGGGCTACCAAAAAAATAGAAGATTCTGTGAAGAGCCATCTGTCTCTTGTTTGGTCCATATGAATCAAATTATGGAATTTCCATGCACCTATATACTGTATCTTGCCCCCTTTCCAAATCTGTTGTTCTCCAGATGTGTTACCCATTCTTTTAATGGGTAGAGTCCTCACTCTACCCATTAGAGTCCATAGCCATGTTGGTTATCTGGGTTATTGTCAGAATGGAAGTATAGCGTAACTGGAGGATTAGTAAAGGCAGCTCTAATGCTATGTCCCAAGTATGATGGAGAGGCACTACATTTTTAAAACCCCTCTTTGCCATTTGTAATTCAGTGAAATTTGTTGTTCAGTCCTCACTGCACATTTTCTGATCCATGGTGATTAAAATGAAATGACATGTAGGAGACGATACTATATTCATAAATAGGGAGCCAGACTAGCTAGAGATTAAAATATTTCTGCTTGGAACAAGACATTTTGCATTTTGGCCCATTCATTTAGCTGGTAATGTTGATTGGTGTTGATTGGTGTTGCCTATATGCAGAGAGAATAATGCATGTACTTCGACCTACTCTTACCTCCTTTTCCACCTGCACTGTGATTTGGTTGTGTGGGTAATGCATCACTTCAAAGTGTGTCTGACCATTCTTCTGTCGTGTAGGTTCCATGTTGGATCTTATGCAGCACCTGTTTCCACCTTCCCAGTTTCAAGGTAGCTTCCTGTAGATTCCAGTGGGCCACTGAATTTTTTTTTCCAGTGCTGCTTCCCATCCTCATTTTGATCCTATGCCTGCTGTGCTCTTGGCTTTTGCTCTGTTGTTTACTGTGTCACCATGTTTCCTCTTCAGTGTTGTCACCAAGAACTTTTTTTCCAGTCTTACCCTTTCTTCTTGCTTCCAAGGAAAAGCCTTTTTTTCCAAGTAAGGATTATTTGTCAAAGTTAAAGAATCCACAACAAAAATAGGAAATCATGGCATATTTGGTGGCTTCAGGTGGAGATGGAATTATTATTTTTCTGTTTGTATTTAAACCTTTCATCTTGAAACCAAAATGGGAGTAAAACAGGCACATTTCAGAAGATCTGTATGGAGCATTTACTGCTGTAGAGTGTATTTTGCAACACAGAGCAATAGACAATTTTCTTCTGTAACCCTGGAATTGTGAAGTGGGATTCCATGATACTCTAGAACAGTGTTTTTCAACCTTTTTTGTGCAAAGGCACACTTTTTTCATGAAAAAAATCACAAGGCACACCACCATTAGAAAATGTTTAAAAAGTTTAACTCTGTGCCTATATTGACTATATATAAAGTGTTTTTCCCACGGCACACCTTACACTATGTCACGGCACACTAGTGTGCCGCGGCACAGTGGTTGAAAAACACTGCTCTAGAACAAAGGTATAAAACTATGCAGCTGATAGTAGGTTGACAGATAGCTGGAGTCTCCTGACCCTGCAATGCATTTAGAAACAGCCCTAACTGATTTGATACTCAAAATCTGTCAGGAGCTGCTTCATTTAATAATCAGGAAAGAAACCACTCAACTCCATTTGTTTGAAATTAAGTGTACTTTTACTAATTACAAATGAATAGTAGCAAAGCTAAGCTGAGTCTGGTTAATTGGGCGCGAAAGCAATGAATATCATGTATAGGTCAATCCCCTCCCCTTGGCACCCCAGTCCATAGTCCAAATATTCACCCAACTGTCAGGTGGGAGATATCTTCAAAAAACATCATCAGGGTGGAATGCTGGACAGTTAACCTTGGCGGGAAACTCCCTTCTTCCACATGTGCAATGAGATGGTCAGGATAGCTTCTAGAATATTCCCCCAGCACATAATGATTCCCCTCCCAAATACCATGCTCCCCCTCCCCGTTTCAATGGCAGCCGAAGCAGCAGCAAAGCAGAGGCTGACAAAATCAGAATAAATGCTAAGCTTGGGCAAGACATTTTCCTGGTGACATGTCTGTTCAGGATCTTAAAACTGCTGGATCAGTGTAAATGGGACTGGAACACTTGTGTGCCTTCAATATTGTGCATCTTTTGGAGCAGGTTCTTTACATGTAGATTGTCAGATGGATTTCTAAGTACTTTTGGCAACTTTGAGCTTTATGGTTCTATACCTAACAGAGAATAGATGACACTACTAGCTCTTCCTTTATCTTTGTTCTCACACAGTTGTTGAGTCAATAACAGGATTATATTTCAGCCGTGCTGGGAGTCAGTATAAACTTAAAAGATCAGTTTGCTTCCATAAGAGGGCTTATTGCATGCCTGGAATAGGCTCTCTTTCTCTTTTCTAGGCATGGTTTAGGAGACATATCTTCACGCGGTCTATTTCTTCCATGCAAAGGCTATATCAGGCCAAGGTCATGCTAATAGGAGGTGCTGAGCATGTTATGATTACCTTTGACGATGGGGGTGCATGATTGAGATAGCATCTACAGTGTCTCTGCTATCATGCACCTTCTGCATGGAGGAAACTCACTACTTCTGTCTATAATTGATGTCATTTTAAAAACCTAGACTGCTAGTGTCTGCTGATGCTATCTGTAGAGTCTATCCTTACTTTTTTTGCACACCCATCTTAGGAACTTTGGCATGCAGATATTAGTAAGAAATTTTGCTTGGCAAAGTGTGATTCATATAGAATTACCATTTGTCATTATCTTGTTTTTTTCCCCAATGGGTACTAATTAATGTGGTGCATTACAGACCAGAAGATGGTTAGAAGAACTGAAAGAGTTAGCACCGCAAACCTTCATCCCCAGTTTTTAAGGGATCCTGACACAGTACAGGAAAGGAGCTGCTTGCTTGCTTGCTGCTGTTTGCTGGAATAAGTAAAAGTAATCTAGAGAGGGCTGATCTGTTGTCTGATGCTTTTGCTGGCTGAATTTTGCTAAGCCTGCAATGAATGCCACTGTTTTGTAGGTAAAAGCCCATTCCTAGTGGGAACAGGTCTCTTTGTTATCCACATGTATGCTGATTTCCTTGTCCACATTTGTTTCACTCTTTCTCTCTGCACATACTTTTTTTTAATCTTCCAAAGTAGCATCCCAAAAGGATGCTGAGTTTCTGTAGCAAGAACTAGGGTGAATGGGCTCAAGCAGGTCTTCTATTTCCCTGCAGGTGTCGCATGCATTGCCCTGTCCTTTGTGGATGACTGCGGAAATCCCATTTCACTGGCTCGCTGGGTGAGGCCCTCCACTGTCCTGCTGAGCACTTCATTTCTTCCAGAGGCGGACTTTGAGAGCTTGACTACAGCCAACAAGCATGAGTGTGAACCTGGAAAGTCATTGTCAGGTAGATGTCAAAGTTTGTTGCATAAATTCAAATCCAGAAGCACACACAGATAACTGATGCAGCAGGATTCATTAACTTCTTTATATACATAAGAATAGATTAATAAATGTACAATACCAACAGGTGGTTCTTCCAAGTAAATACAAGGCAGGAGAGTTACTGGCAAACACAAGCAGTTAGTTTCATTTCAGCAGACAAGCCCAAAAAGACTGCTAGTTTACTTCTCAGAGCAGCAGACTGCTTAAGTTTCTGTTTCAGTTCTTTGCACAGGCTTATATCTGTTTAAGCTCCCATTCGCTGACTTAGTTGGTATGCCTATTCATTGGTTGATCTTGTTCCCATGTCTCTCCCAGTCATGAATAGTCTAACAGTAGGAAGGCAAGATTTTTGTTTTCCAAAGGAGTTCGTAAGCAAAATAATGAGACCAGATGCACAGTCCAAGTTCAGGGTTCATTTGGGAATTGCCGTAGCTTTTTCTAAGAGGCATTCTCTTGAAACAGACTTTTTCTTTACAGCTCTCTCTCCTCTAGTACGCTTTGACATCTGGGAGAAGGGAAACATCAGCTTGTTGCAACTGTCTGAAAGACTGCGCCATGCCCTGCGCCATGCCCTCTGTGATGCCATCATGGAATTTCATGTGCTTCCCAATCCGCTGTGTGTTGAGACATCCACTGAGCTGGAGGATCCAGATAATGTTGGTAAGATCTTTCAGTTACTCTGTTGTTAAATTCTGCAAAATGATTGCAGTCAAGGGTTTCCTGGCTCTCGTGACTCTTCTGAGGAGCAAAGGAAGTTGCCTTCATGAATTTAATTCTGTATTATCTAAGTGTTCTCGAGGCTTCGGATAGAAATGGCTTCTGCCATTTCTGAATTTCATTGACTATAGCAGCGCTTGAGCTTAGGTATAGTCACGTGCAAAGGCACACAGCTTACCATGGTGTTATAGTTCCACTGAAGATTTATGATTGCCTTTTGTCGAGTTCTTTTTCACTGGCTGCCACATAAAACAATAAGAGATTCATTAAAGCTAAAGCAGATTCTAAAAGACATAGAAAACCATGTGGGTTCAGACAGTTCTTCTTATGGAGAAGAGTTGTGACTGGAAAAAGAGGGAGTTTCTGGTTTGAGTAGTGTGGGATTTTCACTTGCTGTAATAGAGACTGTACTTTCAGGAGGCCTGCGCCGGACAATGTCTGAATCAAAAGGAGTGACTTACAATGCCAGAGGCAGAGCATGCCCTCCACCTCTGCCCTTCTCAGTGCCCACCACAAGTTTGGGTGAACCTGTCACACCTACAAGCAAGATAGGACGACGGAGCTTCTGGGATAAGCTGGTAATGACTATGGAAAATGGAGAGGGGAACTGTTTTGAGTGCAAAAGGGAAGGGTCAAAACTCACAAACAGAAACTAAATTGAAGAACTGTTACAGCAGAGTGCAAACCAAAAACGTCTTAAGGTGGTCACTACTCTAGCCATAATGTTGTTATCCATTACATGCTTTATAATTCAATATTATAATTTTTCAGCCGCAGACTGTTAAGAGGTACTTTTCTGCCTAATGTCTCACAGTTTTAGGAAATACTTTGAGATTTACTCCATAAAGTAAGGGTGGGCAACTATGGCAACTCTGGACTTTAACTGCTCCATGCTGGCTCTGGAATTCTGGGAATTGAAGTCTACAGGTCACAAAGTTGACTTAGTTACCCACTTCTGCCATAAAGGAAATTTAGAAAAGGCCTCTGGCCTGATGGCATACTTGTATACCTGCTTCAAGTTAGACCCACAATATGTGTTGATTGCTATAATTGCAGAGTAATATGTTTATGTTATGTGTGGATTAGTAGAATGCTCTTCGGTTTTTGAAAAAGACCATATCAAAGCAGAATGTGGCAGTATCAAAGCTTGTCTAATTCAGAAGCTTAACAGATGTTTCCCTGTGCTCTGCCTTAATTGTCAGAGCAAACCAGAGATGGCAGACCAAGGAAGCCCAAAGACTACAGATGACATTGTGTTGGAGCGACCTGAAGAGAATCGCAGTCGCCGTCGCCATAAGACTGAAAGTGTGAAGCAGCACTCAAGCCAGGAACGTGCTGCTTCCGAGCAGGAGCAGAGCCAAAGGCAAGCATGATAGCAATAGCGCAGAGACTTATATACTGCTTCACAGTGGTTTTACAGCCCTCTAAGCAGTTTACAGAGTCATATTTCCCCAACAATCTGGGTCCTCATTTTACCCACCTCAGAAGGATGGAAGGCTGAATCAACCTTGAGCCTGGTGAGATTTGAACTGCCAAATTGCAGGTAACCAGCAGTCAGCAGAAGTAGTCTGCAACAGTGCAACAGTGTGTCCTGGAAGTAGCCTGCAGTTCTGCATTCTTACCACTGCGCCACCACAGCTCTTTTGATAGCTTCCATCCACATTATCTAAAATTATGGGAAGGGTTCTTCCATGCCAAATCCTTCACTTTTTAATGTACTGGGATGCATTAAATTCTCACATCCTCAAAAGGAGTCTAATATGATAATAAGACAACCAGGTGCTAGTAGGTACAGATAATAGTCTAAATTTTGGGCAATCGCAATGACGGTGAGCAAGAGATCTACTTCTCCTCCACTCAATGATTTCTTGAACCACTTGGACTTTGATATTTTTTTCTTCATAGACGTCGTACTTTCCAGCTAGAGGAAGGAGATGTTGGAATTTTGCACCCAGTTTTCAGTCAGACTTGCCAGTCCTGGATGGCTTTCATGAACCATTTGGGTATGTTTCTAATTTTGTGCCCTGATCATTTCTCTTTTTCCCTGGTTTCATCTTAGCTTAATGTGGGCAGATTCTGCTTTTCTTTCTGTGTTGATACAGTATTTTAAATCTGGATCTCCATACAAGGGAAAAAAACCCCTCCCCAATAGGAACAAAACATAAATCTCAGATAATGTTCCTTTAGTGCAACTCTCCTTGTTGGGGAAAAAATAGCTTGCTGTAATGTGAAAGATTAAAAACTTAACACCCAGTATAAGGTAAAATAAGAAAATAAATCTTAGTGACGGCCACGAAGCCTCTTGGTTTTTTGAGAAATGTTCTGGGTGAATTTTGTTCGGATGTATGTTGGTTTCTTCTCTGTACAGGGTGTCCATCGGTGCAACAGTGTGTCCTGGAAAGTGTCTCCCGCTTCCTGCTGCCTTCTATCATGCTGCAAGTTGTGAATCTCGTCACTACTTTAGCAAGTGACACCACTGTCAAAGTGTTTGAAAAAGTCAGGTAAGTGCTGAGGCTCAACTGCCCAGATAATAGGGAGCTGCTTACGGTTTGGGGAAGCTCTTTTACGAAGATGGGAATAATGTATGTGGGAGAGGAAGCTGGAATTACCAGACGGATATTCGCATGCCAGCATGTAACGTCTTACCCTTTGCTGCAGTGGTCCTCAAGGCATGTCCTTTGCGCCATATTCTCTGACCCCAGGCACCAGTGCCCGGCCGGCTGTTATTCGGCAATTTACTCTGCTCGGACGGAGCTTCCACCAGTGGCGCTGCAGCACAGTACAAGGTGAGTAGTGCACCGTAGGGAAATGGGGAAAAAAAGTAACCTGATTCCCTTGCTGCCTTTGGGGTACAGGACCTATATTTCACAATGCAATCTTTCTAGCTGTCAAAGGATTCCAGCGTTTCGAGAGTACTGAGCTTAGCTCTGTAGATAAGGCTTGTGATGTTGCTCCCCGACAAAGATTCCTCTTCATGGAAATCATGGACAAAAAGGTACGTGCTCATGAGTGAAAGCTGGGATATAATAATTTGGTGGTCTGAAGTCTGGCCCAGCAATGCTGAAAATGAGTTTTTCTTTCCAGTTGGTGCTGTACACTTACAATTGGTCTGTGGACCTGGGCAGTGCCCTGAACAACTCCCTCACTCGCTTACTACAGTGGCAAAATGCCCGAGCCCATGTAGTACACTGCCTGCTTAGCCAGAAGCTTGGGTTGTTCCATCATTACTGTTATATGGACACCCCCTGGCATGAGGACAGCAAGCAGGTATTTACATTCTTTGCTTCCGTTTTCATGATGTTCTGCTGCCTCTAAACCAAGGGTGTCAAACTCGATTTCATTGAGGGCTGCATTTGATCTTGGGGGGCAGAGTAAGGTGTGGCCAACTTGATGTCACTTGTGTCAGGGGTGCCTGTGGCGACCTGAGTGCACTGCAAGCGAAAACAGGTTCCCAATCTCTGTTTTCGGCTGGGACAGTCTCCTGCAACCCTCTGGAAGCGTGCAACTCTCCCGATCTCCGTTTTCGCTGGCAGAGAGTTGCAAGAGGCCATCCCAGCAAAAACAGATTGGGAGCCCGTTTTCGCTGGCAGCGGCACCATGGGCCGGTCCTTTACTATCTCCAGGCTGATCCCATGGTCCGGATCTAAGCACCCCACGGGCCTGCGTTTGAGTTTTTACGCCTCTGCTCTAAACTAATCCTGCATCTTTCTTTGTCCAGGAGCAAAATCCCTTCCTAAACTCTACCCTGGAAATTGATGCCCTGATCCGGAGCCCTAGTGTTCCTCCAAGCAAGGAGCAAGGACGCCTCAGCAATTCTGCGCGCATCTTGCAGCCTTTGCACTTTCCTCCAGACATGGTGCCCTTTGACGAAGCTCTCCGAGATGTTTCAGTCATCCAGCCTATTGTTCATAACCCAGAACAGGGTGTTCATGACCCCGTAGCCCAGCATGGAGCTCAGTTCCTAGAGATCAAGAACACAGAGAGGAAAGGTAAGTGCAAAGTTAGGTGTAGAGGGGAGTGACAGCAGGATCTGGCATTATTAACAGTTCTGGGGCTATCCTGAGAATCCCTGTGTGAAAACTGGCCAAGAAAGAATTCATCAAGGCAATAAAAAGTAAATCTATAGAATGCTATAGAGCCAAATTAATTCCCATTTTCGAAGATGTCAGATCTATAGTACAGGCTAATGTGTATGAATTCTTAAAAGCCTAAGTTTTCAGTTGGGAATGCTCTCTGGCAAAGAAGAACCTGATAGTCCAAGAACCTCAGAGCCTGCTCTCTTCAGCTCCTGCTCCTGTTCCTGTTTCACAGAGATGGAGAAACAGATGAAGATTGAGAACCTTTTTGTGACATGGCAACAGCGTTCTGCTCAATCCAACATGCCCATCAGTGTGAGTTTGGGGCTGGGATGTGGGGCTGGGACGTGATAAGCTATAAGAATGATGATGATAACCCCATTAAATGTTTTTCACTATAAGGAAATACTGTAAATTAAACCAGTGGAATCTTGAAATGTAGTCCTCTGAGGATCACTTATATTACTGCTGTTGGTATAAATTCATTTGTATTCATTACCAGTGTTCATCATTTGTTTGGACATTACTAGCTGATAGACTATAAACTAGTTCACCCATAGGAATGCTCTCCGCTCCTGCCTCTTATGCTGTTTCTAGGTGTGGGCATTGTGTGGAGCTTATGATTCTTGTGCTTCTCTTGTAAATTGTGTGATCATAGACTCTAGAAAGGGCGCAGAGAAGAGCAACAAAGATGATTAGGGGACTGGAGGCTAAAACATTTGAAGAACGGTTGCAGAAACTGGGTATGTCTAGTTTAATGAAAAGAAGGACTAGGGGAGACATGATATCAGTGTTCCAATATCTTAGGGATTGCCACAAAGAAGAGGGAGTCAAACTATTCTTCAAAGCACCTGAGGGCAGAACAAGAAGCAATGGGTGGAAACTAATCAAGGAGAGAAGCAACTTAGGACTGAGGATAAATTTCCCAACAGTTAGAACAATTAATCAGTGGAACAGCTTGCCTCCAGAAGTTGTGAATGCTCCAACACTGGAAGTCTTTAAGAAGATGTTAGATAATCATTTGTCTGAAATGGTATAGGGTTTCCTGTCTAGGTAGAGGGTTGGACTAGAAGACCTCCAAGGTCCCTTCCAACTCTGTTATTCTATTCTGTAGTGGTTTTAAAAAGTACCAATATTTTTATGCAAATAATACTGTACAAATGTAGAAAGTGGGTCACTCACCCCTAAGAAGGACGCTGGGATGAAGAACTTCTGAATAACCTTGCCAGCAAAACTATAGGACTTGTCCAAGCAGTCACAAGAAGTCAACACTGACTGAAAGGCACAAAATGAAATATTAAGGACAGCCTGCTAGAAACTATAGCATACCAGGAGGTCACGATCCCTCTGTCCAAGAGCCACAATAGACTTTAGTTACGTTTGCAATCTAGAAGCCAGCAAGAACAACTGTGTTCAGGAGAACAAATGAATTGGCTTTCAATTGCTCTGAATATATTTAAAAGGCAAAAGATTTACATGACCTAAGAAAAGCCAGAATAATATCCCCGCTTCAGGCTCCATTATTAAATTTTATAGTGCAAGAAATTAGTTTTTTCATTAAATATTGTCAGATTGTTTCTTGTTGGTTTCTTAGCACTCTTTCACTTTGCAGATGTTTAGTTACCTTACTCGTTAACACTATCAGCACATTAATATACAGTAGGGTTTGGTGGCTGTTTTTTTGTAGCTTATAGAACACCAAGAGCCCAGCAATTCAATCCTGAGCTTACATATATTCGCCACTAGTGCAAGGAAAATTAATTCTTCAGCTGATGGCACAGGAGGGTCCAGGAGTGGGTTGTTCAATCCTTATTTGCCCAAGAGACTGTCAGAATTTAAGCCACGCCTCTAGCTTCCTCTGCTGATATCCAATTCCAACTCAGTCTTGCCCGAAAAGAGATGTAAAAAACCTTTCTGTTGGTGAAAATTGGTTTTCTTTCCTAGAATAGTTTTAAAAAAATTATCTTAATTAATTTGATGTCATTATTGGATGGAAAGTGTTTGAACTTGGCTCACAAGTTCTTTCTTCCACCTGCTTGTGCTAGAGTAACTAATTGTATTAGGGCTAGATCCTGCTGGAGGTCCCAGGTTCCTCGCAGGCAAGCTACCGGCTGGGCCGGCCATCGGAGTCCATTGCGGCTCCGTTTAAATTGCTTTCGATTACTGGCTCATGAGTGGGCCAGGGAGGTTGCCCTGTGTTGCCGCTGGCTCTCAGGGGCTGCAGCGGGCGGACAGCGAGGCTGCAGGTGCGAGGAGCGCGTGTATGGCACGCCAGCATCCCCGCATAGCTTCAAATGGTCCGGAACGACAGGAGAGCGCGATCGGCGCTGACTGTGACTTGCGGAGGGCTGCACGGCCGGCTGGATGATCTCGGGGCTGTTTGCTCACCCGCACCATTGGTTTTGTCCGGAGGCTTCTCCCTCGTGAGTATGGGGCTCTGGGGGTGGCCATTTTTGGGAGAGCTTCTTGGGTGGTGGCCATCTTGGGAAGGTCCTCGTGGCGGTGGCCATTTTGTTAGTGGCCATGAGGTGGTGGCCATTTTGTTTCCCCTTTTTTCTCTGCCATGAGGCTCATTGCGACTGCAGGCTCCAGTGAGGTCAGTCGCAGATTAACAACAGGAGTTTTTTCGCTGTGTTGGTTGCTGAACTGGTCAGGTGCAGCCTTGGGCAGAGAGTTTGCTACAAGACCATGGCTGATTCCCGCAGTGAAAGTAGCTCTGGGACGACTTCTGCAGCTCCTTCAAAGAGCTCCAAGAAGAGAAAGGGTTCCCCACAGGATCCTCCTCCACTGGTGAAGCAAGCTCCCTCCAGACAAGGGGGATGGGGAGAAGACCAAGCAGGGAGCCGGAGATAAGGCCCCTTTGCCTTCAGTAAGGTTCACACACACCCGTCTGAGGGCGGCTCCACTTTCTCCATCCCCTTCCCCTTCAAGGATCTCTGGATCCCCAAGGGCCAGTTCGATCTCACCCCCACTCTCGGAGGTGGAGGACGAAGAAGGCGAGTACCATCTGCCTATACGCATTATGCCTGTTCCTGACCCAGGGCATAGGCACCAGCTGGCACCCAGGCCTGGGCCTAGTCATGACATTGGTGATTTTGAGGACTTACCTGATAACATTCAATCTCTTATTCATCGAGCCATTGCACATGGCATAGCCCTCCAGGATCGCCCTTCTGACCAGGCAGACACAGAGCTGATGGAGGTCAAGCGCAGACGCATCCAGGATCCAGTTGTTTGATCAGACAGGATGCAGAGAGAAGTCTCCCCTTCACTGAAGAGCGAGATTTCGCTCCAGGAAGAGGAAGAGCAGAAGGAGACGGAGCTTTCTGATGATGAAGGTTTGGCACCGGATACTCCGGTGTTTCCAGTTTGTTTCCTCCTAATATGTTCCGTTCCTTGCTATTTAAAGCCAGGAGCACTGCAGCCGATGAAAAGGAGGATGGCAAAGAGAAGGAGACTGCGGCCGAGGTCTCAACTTCCAAGGCAGTGCCTAAGAAAAAATGTTTCTTTGTGGAACCCGTGGCATGGAAAGAGGAATTCCCTGTACCAAAATTGTTCCTGGACATCATTCAGAAGCAGTGGGCCAAGCCAGGTACTTTCCCCATCCCGGGTGGGAATGACAGACGGTTCTATAATATGGATCCTGATTTCTCCCAGGCATTACAGGTTCCGGAGGTTGATGCCTCTGTGGCCACCCTGGCGTCCCCAACTCCCATGGTGGCAAGTGATGTAGCCGACGGTCTGAAGGCAGAAGATAAGAGGACTGAACTGGCATTGCGTAAGACCTTCCTGGCAGCAACATGGGCGATCAAGGCTGCTTCCTCCGTGTCTTTTCTTCAATCATGCCATGCTGATGTGGCTTGAACAAATGCAGGAGCGTGTCCCGGTGCACGATGTGAGGCTGTTTCAAGACATCAGCAAGGTCATGGCTGCGACTCAGTTTTTGGCACATGCTACCTTGAATGCCGCTAAGTTTGCCTCCAGGGCTCTTTCTTCGTCTGTTTCAGCTAGGTGGATGGTGTGGCTTCGAAACTGGCAGGCGGAGGCCAAAGCGAAGTGGAAGCTGGCGGCAGGCCTGTATGCAGGGGAAAAAGCTGTTTGATGAGGTTCTGGACCCAATCCTCATTGAGGATAAGAACAAACGTAAGGTTTTGCCTGCCACGACTAAGAAGCAGGAACATAAGTACATACCATATACACGTAGGGCACCCTATAGGGGTACTGACACAGACTATCATTATCAGCCTAGGAATTTTCAGCCACGTCAGGACAGGGGGCAGGATAGGTCTTCTTACAGGGACAGGTCACATTTCCAATTCCAGAGTAGGTGGCCCTTCTGGGGGGTGGGGAGCAGACACCCCTTCCACTGGAATAAATGAGCGGGTTTGGACGGCTCCCATTGGTGGTCGGTTGGCGTTGTTTGCCGACCGATGGGAGAGTATTAATTCAGATCTCTGGGTCCTTAACATGGTGAAGTTTGGCCTGCGACTGGAATTCCTATCCGTCCCTCCGAATTCCTTTCGTACTTTTACGTCCTCCAAGTGCGCACTTAAGAGATAGCTCATGCGCCAGGCGATTGACCACCTGGTGGAGATCCAGGCGGTGGAGGTGGTTCCTCAAGAGGACTGGGGCAGGGGTTTTTATTCCAACCTCTTTATAGTTCCAAAGTCCTCTGGGGTTGGAGGGCGTTCCTTGACCTTAAACGGATGAACCGCTACTTAGTTTACAAATAGTTCAAGATGGCATCCCTTCGTTCCATCCTGGAAGGTATCAGGGAGGGCCACTACCTCACATCCATTGACTTGATGGAGGCTTACCTTCATGTAGCTATCCTCCCTGAGCACAGGAAGTTCCTTAGGTTTTCCTACACTGGTGACCACTACCAGTATAGGGCTCTTCCCTTCGGCCTTGCCTCGGCGCCCAGGACTTTTACAAAGGTCCTGGCAGCCCTGGCTGCCCATTCCAGAATGGTTCCCATCAGGCTTCATTGTTATTTAGATGATATCCTCCTCCAGGTGGAGTCGTCGGAAAGGTCCCTTCAAGATCTAGACCAAACAGTGCCTGCAGAGGTATGGTTTCTCAGTAAACTTCCAGAACACCCACATGCGATCATCTACCAGACTGTTGCATTTGGGAGCGATCATAGATTCCTCCTCCGGCATGGTGTTCTTGTCCCAGGATTGTAAGGCTAGCCTGGTAAAACTGGTCAACCAGGTGCAGAGAGAACAGCATAGTTACCTTATCCCAGTTGTTGGGGAAGATGATTTCATGCATAGATCTTGTTCCATGGGCGAGGCTCCATGCTAGAACCCTCCAGTGGTTCTTGCTCCCATACCAAAGGAGCAAACGCAGGCCTCGTCTTTCGAGGTTTGAGTACCCCACCCCCACGTGAGGTTCTCCCCAAGGTGGTGGGCTTTGCCAGCGTTAGCCAGAGGGTGTGGGTTCAGGGAGCCAGAGAGGCTTACCCTGACCACAGATGCGAGCCTTTATGGCTGGGGGACATTGTTGGGGACACAGCTGGCCCAGGGTCAGTGGTCCCCTCAGGACCTTACACATAACATAAACTGGCTGGAGCTGCATGCGGCTCATCTGGCCGTTCGACACTTTCAGGCCCTTGTAGAGCAAAGACACGTCCTACTCCTGACGGGCAATGTGGCCATGAAGGCACATGTAAACAGGCAGTGGGGGACTCACTCCAGAGCCCTCTGGGTGGAATCTCAGCGCCTGGGCCATTGGGTGGAGAGGCACTTGTTGTCCATCAAGGCAGAACACATATCTGGAGACGCCAATCACCAGGTGGACTGGCTCAGCAGAGTCACGGTGGACCACATGGAGTGGCAGCTGGAACCAGAACTGTTCAAGGAGATCTGCAGGAGATTCGGATGGCCAGTGGTAGACCTCTTTGCGTCTCTGGAAAATGCCCAGCTCCCCAGATTTTTCACATGATTCCTGACTCGGGGAATGGAGGGGAGCAGTGCCCTATGCAGCAGGTGGCCCACGGGTCTGCTTTATGCGTTCCCTCTCTCCTACTGATTCCATGGGTGTTGGGAAAGATAGTGAAGGAAGGGGCGGAGGTAATCATGGTCACCCCATACTGGCCACGCAGGCCTTGGTTTGCGGACCTGTTAGGCGTGTCCATTGCCAAACCCTGGAGAATCCCGCAGGAGAATATATCCCTACGCCAGGGGATCCTGGTCCATCCGGAGCCACAATGGCTCCAGTTGAGCACCTGGTATTTGAGAGGGAGATCCTGAGAGAGGCAAGGTTCTCCTCACGGGTGATATGAACCATCGTGGTGGCCACGACCAGGATTTATAATGCCACGTGGTCCACTTTTTGTATTTGGTGCCGTAAGGCACATGTGGACCCCAAACGTCCCTCGCTCCCGAATATCCTGGACTTCCTTCAGGATGGGCTCGATAGGGGTTTAGCCCATAACACACTTGGGAGACAGGTCTCGGCCCTGTCGACTATCCTGGTCTTGGATGGCTGGGAGAGCCTGGGCCATCACCCGGTGGTGAAGAGGTTTCTACGGGGGGTGGCCAATCTTCGGCCCCTGGTAGTTCACAGGTTCCCATCTTGGGATTTGTCCACGGTCCTCCTAGCCCTAGTGGATCCTCCTTTTGAACCGCTGAGGACTGTGTCCTTGCAGTTCCTCACATTAAAGATAGTTTTCCTAGTCGCCATCACATAGACTAGGAGGATTTCAGAGTTAGGTGCCCTCTGTCAGGGAAGACCTTTGTAATTTCCAGCCTAACACAGTGGTTCTGAGGCTTGATCCCGCCTTTATATCCAAGATAAACTCCTACTTTCATAGGGCTCAAGAATTAATTCTGCCGGACTTCTGTCCTAACCCCTCTCATAGACAGGAGAAATCCTGGCACAAGCTGGACGTGCGGAGAGCCCTCCGTATTTACATAAAGAGAACGGCGCCCTCCAGAAAAATGGAGGCATTGTTTGTCTCTTTCCAGCCTTCTGCCATGGGGTCATGGGTGTCCTCTTCTACTATTGGATGCTGGTTGTGAGCTTGTATTGCCAGAGCTTATGAGGCGAGGGGCAAGCCGGTGCTGCAGGGGATAACGGCTCATTCGACTAGGAATGCTGCCACCACAGCTGCGTGGAACACTTAGGCTCCAATCGGAGACGTTTGTAGAGCTGCGACGTGGGCTTCCCCCTCATCTTTCATTAAGCACTATAGATTGGATGCGTTCGCATCTGTGGATGCATCATTTGGGCGTAGTGTGCTGCAAGGAGTACATGCGCTCTCGGGTACCACAAACCAGTGAATTCCCGCCCTAGGGATTGCTGCTTTGGTATGTCCTACTCCTGGACCCTCCTGCGTCATCAGCTGGAGAAGGAACGTTGGTCCTACCTGAACGTTCTTCTCAGTGTGGCGCAGGACAGTCCAGGTCCCCCCCTTGTTATTGTTTTTGGTTAGGTCCAGGTCCCCAGGGGCTACTAATGCTGCGGGCAGGGCCTGTTCTTCTTTCGCTTCTCTAGTTGGAGCTGCGCCTCTTCGGAATTGGATATCAGCAAAGGAAGCTGGAGGCGTGGCTTAAATTCTGACTCAGTCTCTTGGGCAAATAAGGATTGAACAACCCACTCCTGGACCGTCCTGCGCCATGCTGAGAAGAACGTTCAGGTAGGACCAACATTCTTTTTCATACATTGTCTTGGATATGTCAGAGCAGGTCTGATAACGGTTGATAGTTTTTCTTTCCATTTGAAACAGCCCCTTTTGCAAGATAAGTAAGTTTGGAGCAGCAGATAAATTTATTTCTTGTTCCTGTTTGGTTGTCTGCATATATTTAATAGAGAAGACAATCACATAAGGTCAGTGGTACTCCATTCCTCCATAGGTTGCCTATTGTCCAGTGAAAAGAAAGGTTAAGAGGGAGATTATGGCACCTTTCCCTTTCAAAGCTTTCCCTTTGTTCTCCAGGAATGTTATATGTCAGTGGGGTGTTAATACATGAAATAGGCTTAGCAATATGCAAAGTTTTCTCCTGTGTGTATGTGTGCAGCTTCCAGACTTAGACACCCTGAAGCAGTCCTCACGCTTGGTCCATTACTGTGCAACACCCCTGCTCTTTGATCCAGGCTTCCGGCAGCAGATTCAGGCGGATCAACAAAGCAAGCTGGAAGGCAAGGTGAAACAAGGGGAGAGGGAGACACCTTTTGTAATCCCCTTTCCTCCTTAAGGCTTACGAGGGTGGCTCATAAGAGGATTTCTTTTCTTCTCAGATTGAACTAATTGAGTGAACGATTTGATCAGAGCCCGATAAACGAGATTAGAGTAAAAGGTCTATTTAAAGAGTCATTGGTGGAGGATGATCCTTAAAATCCCATTGTCTATTCATTTGGAGAGATACTTTTCATAGTATTAGCAGGCTATCCACCATCTTATAGGTAGTCCTCGACCTTCGTTCAGTGACCATTTGAAGTTACAGTGGTGCTGAATGAAGGGACGTATAACTGTTGCTGAAATTGCAGCTGTTGCACCATCCACACAGTCATGTAATCATGGGGCACTTGGCAGTCTGCCCACTTGTATGAGCTCCAGGGCACTTCAACTCTCCCCACCCGCCAAACTCCCCTTATCTATACCCTTTTGGTCCATATGGACCTTCGCCATCTTCTGCTTCCGCTGACCAAGAACACCTGGTCTGGCCCTTCACAAAGCAGCTGCTGGCACACAAGGCTTTCTTCCCTAATTCATGAGACTTGAGGAAATGGGCCTCATGTGATCAGCAATTTCCTTATGAAGGGCCAGGCCTTATCAGCAGCAAGAGCAAGAAGGTAATAAGGTCAGCTGCTGTAGCAGAACGCAGGGCAGTGGGGGGGCCTTGGAATGCAAGGGTAGGAAGGGTGACTGCAGCTGGGACTTGACAGGAGGGGTTGTGGAGCTTCAGGCTGGGGCTCAGCTTCATGCTATGCTATGCTGTGACTGAAGGACTTTCTGCAGTCCCAGAGCTATGGTGTGCCAAAAAGCCCCGTCAACCACAGCATATTCTTTCCCCAAATTCCCTTCACTTGTGCACACATACACACCCTATACCCTCTTTCCCTGACCTCCCTGAGTTTGTCCTTCAACATCAACAACAACCCCCCCCCCTCCAACTCCTGATGAGCATGTGTCAGGCTTCTCCCACTTCTTTGCAGCATCCCTGCACTCCTTGCCTGGAACTCCCTCCACTTCCCACACAGCGACCTCAACATCTGGAGCTAAGACTGTAACCAAAACATCCAAGATTGCTGGATTCAACTGCATTGCTTAGCAATGGAAATTCTGGTCCCAGTTCTGGTCATAAGGACTAGAATACGTGAACAAAGGCATGAAATTATACCTTAGACCTCCTTGTGCTTTCAACATGGTTCTCAATGGTGCCCACCCAACCATTGATGCCAGTCTTCCCACAGGGCCCTTACCTTGTTCCAAACGTTTGCAGACCTTTCAAATCATCGTACTTCTCTCTGACTTCTTATTCTTTCTAATCTTTTCAGAAACAATCTCACGAACATTGTCTCTTATTTGAGGGGGAATGTCTAGACTTAGTTTTTGTCCATTGTATCCAAAGTCCTTTCCATGAAGTCCGTTAAATCCCATTATTACTTTATATTCTTAACAAGAAAGGACTGAATTTATATGGTTTGATTCTCTCCTAATTATCAAAGTAGTTTTGAGGGCTCACTGCAAGACTGAAACCCAGATATTACTGTAAGGTTATTACATCACATAAGTTCAACTTTTTTCCTGAGAAAAATATTGTCTGCCTTATTTGCTCGCATTCAGAAGCGCCATCGCTCCAATGACTCCACAGCATCTGGTAGGGACCGTAGCCACAGTTGTGACTCTGCAGAAGGGCTACCATGTCGATCCAAGGATGAGACCTGGCTGCTGGAACTATGCCATGCCTTTCTCCAGCAATACATACAGTATCTGCAAAGCATGGGCTTCATCTTAGTACAGGTGCGCCCAGCCTCACCTGCTCGCAGGTTAGTATGATTTAACCAGGACAGGTGATTTAAAAGTGAGATGGGAAGAAGTTGTTTTTTTTTTCCTTAACTGTTTTGGGTTGCACCAAAGCATATGGCAGAGACATGCTTTCTTTGGAAGAGAACTTCCTGTAAAATGTGGTTGAAAAATTATCAGGTTAAAAGTAACAATTTTCACAATTATCACTGTTAAAAGTAGACATGCAGGATTTTAAGTTTGTTTACGATACATGGAATTAAAAAAAAGAGAAGATCCTGGTAGGTCTTTGAACGTCTTTTTGTATTATTCTGGTTTCCAGCAGCACCAGCCGGATTAGAGCTCTAGCATCAATGGCTGGTGAGACACGGGGCTCCTTCTCATACTCCAGGCCAAAAGTGGATGGGAGTCCAAAGGTAAGAAAGCTAATTATGGCACGGTGTTGGCAGGCTCTGTTGGCCTTGTTGCTTCATCAGAGATAGGTGCTTAGCTGGAGGGAGGATGGGAAATCTAACAGAGAGACTGGACCTCATGTTTCCTAGCCAGTGATCCCTTTGGAAGTGTATTTTCTAGGTAACCATCTTGAAGCCATACTCCTAAAAAAAAATATGTATTGATTTTCTAGACCACAAACCCTCCTGTCACAGCATACCATTTGCAAAGGGCTTTGCCTGGGGGCATTGTACTAATGGAATTGGCTTTCCAGGTGAGTGGAATTTGTCTTTTGCCATGACCAGACCATATGCCTTAACAACAGTCAAGGTTCCTAGGTCAGCACATTCTCAAGATGAATTGCAAGCACAATGGAGAAAATAAGGATATAGTCAACTATTGTAAGAGGGAACGCGCTAGAATTGATGGCGGTGTATGTATCTTCCTAGGCTGAAGGCCATGTTTCAATTAAGGTGTTGTGGTTTTTTGGGGATTGGCACACTAAAAAATATGGTTTGAATCTGAGACAAGTTAATCTTGATTTTATTTCATTTAAATTTATATTCAAATGTAATTAAATCAAATATATCATTATGATGCCTTCAGTTATATATTCAGCCATTTTCCTTTAATATCAGATTAAACACTATCTTTTGTAACAAGTTTTGGAATTCTCTGGGGCCATATGCAGCAGTTGAACTACAGAGGGGAAAATAAGAGTTGAGATAACCATAATAGATGGAAGCAACATCAGTGAATTAGCTGTTTTAAGGAATAGCTTTTATACAAGTTTCTTTTTTTAACCTTATTTATTTAAGATTTATATGGTGTATAGCTACATCTCTTTTTTGTTGTTGAATACAAATTCCCTTTGGAATTTGGACATATTTGAAAATACGATTTCTGTTTTCATGGATTTTACGCACACACTCTGTCTCTGCCTCACAGTTTCTAAAGAAATATTGCAATACTACAAGAAGCGAATAGGATAAACTCCAAGGATAGTTTTCAGAGAGAGATAGTTAATAAAGTTAACTGCAATGTCTCGTTGTTAACGTATAGATGAAAATTAATATTTTATCTTTTACTCCTCTTAGGGATGCTATTTTTGTGTCAAACAATATGCACTGGAATGCTCCCGAATCCCCATGGGCCAGACTGTCAACTCACAGGTAATACTGCCATGATTAGGGTTTCCCTAACAGGTAAAACCTGGTGGATATAGAAAATGTCATCAAAATATATGCATAGGAGGCAGTTTGAACCTTGTGGGCTGTCTAATTTCTTGATTTTTGCATCTTAGGCATTCAGAATCCTGCTCATCAAGTGACCACTCTCCTGTGATTGATTGATTGATTGATTGATTATATGTTTTCAGCTGTGGCAAATCTTAATGGCCACATAGGTAAACCTTCTCTGGGACTGTCTGAAACCTAGTCCTTCGGGCCTCTTAACGGTGCGCCCATTGCTGATATAATTGAGATCATCCACCTTGCGGCTGGTTGTCTTTTTCTTGTCTTTCCTTCCATTTTTTCCAGCATTATTGACTTCTGCAGAGAACAAAGTTAAATAATGTGACCAAAATACAATAGCTCAGATTGTTCTATGGTCCATTGTATGATTTTCTTGGCTGTTTTATTGTCAAGGGTCTTCTGCAACATTAAAGTTCAAAAGCATCAATAGTCTTTCTATCCTCCTCCTCCAAAGCCCAACTTTTCCCTGCATAACATATAGATGGGTCACTTCATCTGAATATCATTTCCAAGGTCTTATTTGCTATTTGTTGATATTCAGTCCTAAAAGGAAGGAACTAACCACCGTTCAGAATCTTTATTGTCGGTTCTAAAACTATTTGCTCTACCTGCAGTCATCAGTTTGTTCTTTTGTACTATATATTCAATATTGGTTTCTATTTTTTACTCTGCTCCTTGACTTTTATTACCAGAACTTTCAGGCTATTTGCATTTTCATCTACCAGGGTAATGTCATTTGCATAGCACAGGTTATTAATGTTTTTCACTGAAATTTTAAAACCACATTTATCTTCTTCTAATCCAGTCTCCCTCATTATATATTCTGCTTTTGGTTGAATAAATAAGGAGTGGGTATGCAGCCTTTTCTCCTTTGCCTAGCTGAAGACAATTTTTTTATGTTTCACCTTCTTCATTCAGTCTTTGGGTTCCCAACCTGTGTATAGGTTGTGATAAAAGGACAATGGGAAGTTTGCCCATTCTCCAGTGCGCTGTTTAGAGAATTCAAAGGAATGGGTTAATATCAGTCTGCTTGCCTAGAGACCGAATTGAATAAACGTGGCCATGCCTCCCCTTTTCACTCGGGTCGTCAGTTTTTCAATTCAGTCTGCCTGAAGAGACGTAATCACATTTTTTCCTATACCTTATGATTGATTCCTTTGGATTTTCCTTACTAACAGGTATAATTATTTTTTTCCTTTATTTTAGTTAGTGTTATGGTGATTTGTTTTTGTGAGCTTTATTTTGGCGGGCGTGCTGGTTTTCCTGGTCTACCGGCATGAACCACTGCCGGGGTCGCCCCATTCTGGGGAAATGTGTGTGCGATGAGGCTTTTCCGCCTGATTGCTCAGGCTAGCTGGAATGGATTGTCGCTTGGATCTGAGGGCCATGAGCTTCCGTGCGCCGGCTTGAGCCCCTCTTGTTGTGCTTGGAGGCTTGGTTCGCCATCCTCCCGCTGCTGCCTGTTTTCTCCAGCTAAAACACGCAGAGCTGCCATTTTGGATGGCGCTTTGAATTTCGCAGGCGCAGGCGGCACTGAGGCTGTTGGGTAAGTAAGTGAAAGTGGCATCATCTCGACATGTGATGGGCTCTCCGACGCTACATCAAACACACACTGTCTTTTCGATGATCGGAAGCCCTCTTTGTCACCTTCCTTCATGGATCCATGGGGCAGAAGGTATCCTCCACAACTATTGGACAGTGGCTAAAGGCCTGTATCGCCAAGGCATATGAAGTGCAGGGCCGCCCAGCATCCTCTCACATTACAGCCCACTCAACACGCAGTGCGGCCACCACCACGGCCTGCACCACTCAAGCCTCTGTGGAGGAGATTTGTAGGGCGGCGACATGGTCATTTCCATCACCCTTCATTAAACACTACAAACTGGACATATATGCTTCGGCTGAAGCAGCCCTTGGACGTCAGGTACTGCAAGCGGTTCACTCGGACTCTGGCTCCCTTGACCGGTCATCCACCCACCCTTAGGTCAGTATGCTCAGGCATATCCCATTCCTTTGGATTCTCAAAGCAGCGCACTGGAGAAAGACCGTTGTACTTACCTGAACAGTCATTCTCGGTGTGCTGCGTGAGAATCCAACCTCGCCCTTTTTGTGCCTTGGTCCAGGGTAGTAGGGACAGGGAGGTTTCGAGGCTAGGAGGGCATCTCATGTGCTTTCATCTCTCGAAACAGCCATGGCTTCCATTGAAAAACTGAGGAGCTGGCTTCGGGGGGAGGAGCCTGCCGCCGTCGGGAGCTCAACGAAGCTC